TAAATTTTATAAGACCCAAAAATTCTACCCTCTTGAGGCAGAACATCTTCTCCATCCCTCTTCCTTTATTTTTTCAACACTTTAAAAAAATATTTATTTGGGGGCTGGCATTGTGGCTCAGTGGGTAGAGCCACCACCTTCAAGGGTGGCATCCCATATGGGCACTAGTTCGAGTCCTGGTTGCTCTACTCCTGATCCAGCTTTCTGCTAATGTGCCTGGGAAAGCAGCAGAGGATGGCCCAGGTCCCTGGGTCCCTGCGTCCATGTGGGAGACCCAGAAGAACCTTTTGGCTCCTGGCTTTGGCCTGACCTAGCCCTGGCCATTGGGGCCATTTGGGGAGTGAACCAACAGATGGAAAATCAAATTAATCTCTCTCTTCCTCTCTCCCTCTCTTTCTCTCTCTAACTCGGCCTTTCAAATAAATAAATCTTTTTTAAAATTTTTTATTTATTTGAAAAGCAGAGTTAGAGAGAGGCAGAGCGGGAGAGGTCTTCCAATTGCTGGTTCACTCCTCAGAGGGCAGCAAAGGTGGGAGGTGCGCTGATCTTCTAGTTCTCCCATGGGCGCAGGGGCCCAAAGACTTGGGCCATCTTCTACTGCTTTCCCAGGCCATAGCAGAGAACTAGATCAGAAGAGGAGCAGCTGGGACTCGAACCGGCATCAGCCCCTATTTATTTTATTTGAGAGAGAGAGGCTTCTTCCATTTGCGGGATCACTCCCCCTTCATGCCTGCAGCATCAGGGCTGGGCCAGGCTGAAGTCAGGGGCCAGAAGTTCAATCCTGGTCTCCCACGTGGGTGGCAGGGCCCAGCTCTCTGTGTCATGACTGCTTCTCCCAGGGTGCCCATTGGGAGGAAGCTGGATTGGAAACGGAACCTGGTCTCGAACCCAGGCTCTCCTACATGGCGTGTGGGCTCTGAAGCAATGTTTTAACCACTGCGTTTGGCCCACCCCAACCCTCTACCTTATGTGTGAACGCTAGGCTCCTTGTAGACAAGTGAAGCTGTAACCCTGGTCTTTCTCTTTAAAGTGAGGGAATTCTGGTACCGGGAGGGAAAGATCACCTGGGGCAAGGATCAACAGCACAGCAATGAAGTGAAAACCTCCTGAAACCCCGCCCCCACCATTCCACTTACATCTGATTGGCCACACTGGATCACATGTTCACCTCTGAAGCCAATCAGTAGTCAGAGTACTAGGATGGCTGTGATTGGCTTAATCTAGGGCAGCCGTTCAACTTTGGCTGAATGTTAGAACCACCTGGGTGGGACCCTTATACATTGCCAGTGTGGGGTCCCACTCCTGGCAGCCACATTTAATTGGTCTGCCTGGATTTCTGACACTGGAATTTTAAAACTCCCAGCTTTAATATCCAGCCAATGCCGGAAGTCATTCATTTAGTCCAGTGCCCATCCCTGCCCATTTTACAGATGGGAATTCTGAGGTCGGTGACTTGCCCAAAAGACGACACCTTCAGTTCGCAGCAAAAACAAGAAACAAGCAGAACCTCACACACCAATGACATCGAATGGGACAGCTTTTTTTCCTAGAATATGCATATGAGTACAAAATTTATGAGAGGCTATTGTTTTGGACTAAGCTCCTGCACTGGACCCCAGCAAACCAAACCAAACCAGAACAGTCACCTGTGCTAGACGTCAAATAATCAAACTGGATTTTCATGGACCAGTTTTCTGAAAAATAGGAGACTGACTGTAACCATTCCCTAAAGGGCTGCTCACCCTCAGTGATAAAAAGGTCCCTTCTGCTGCAACCCATGCATTAGTCTGCCTTCTGTTGCTACAACAAAATTCCTAAGGCTGGGTCATGGAGGAAGTACACAGGTTTCTTTAGCTCACAGGTTTTGAGGTTGAAGGTCAAAGATCAGGCACCTCCATCTGCCATCCGGTGGGTGGCACTGTGAGAAGACACCAGGCTGGAGCGAGCTTCAGAGAGATGAGATTTGCTCTGACAACTCCGCCAGGTCACTGTCAATCACTTCCAAGGGCCAAGCTCCCATGACCTCAAGGTCTTGCATGAAGCCCCACCCCTTAAAGGTTCCACCACCTCCCGAGGTTGCCCTGTGGAGGACCAGGCTTCCAATGCAGGAGCCCTATGCAGATCACGGACCCCTATAAGGAAAAGAACTTTGAAATGATTAATCCACTTTTTGTGTCCGTTTAGGCTTTCGTTGGCCTTTTCTGCTTATAAAGTCCAGCCCCTCTGCTCAGCCCAGTCTTTCTGTTTTATAGATAGGATGTTGCCCAATTCATTCGTCCCAAAAAAACCAATTTGCTCATTAAGCTCAACTTGTCGAAACTTTGTCTTTTGATGGCACCCATTGTCTGCTTGTTTTTTTGTTTTGTTTTAGAAAGTTGAGTCCTGGGGCCGGTGCTGTGGCATAGCAGGTAAAGCCACTGCCTGCAGTGCTGGCATCCCATATGGGCGCTGGTTTGAGTCCCGGCTGCTCTATTTCCACTCCAGCTCTCTGCTGTGGCCTGGGAAAGCAGTGGAAGATGGCCCAAGTCCTTGGGCCCCTGCACCGAAGAAGCTCCTGGATCCTGGCTTTGGACTGGTGCAGCTCCAGCCATTACGGCCAATTGGGGAGTGAACCAGCAGATGGAAGACCTCTCTCTCTCTTTCTGCCTCTCCTTCTCTCTCTGTGTAACTCTGACTTTCGAGTAAATAAATAAATCTTATTAAAAAAAAAAAGAAAAGAAAAGAAAGCTAAGTCGTGAGGGCCAGTGGGCGTTGTGGTAAAGCAGGTTACGCCACCACTGGGGACACCTGCATCCATATCAGAACAACAGGTCGAATCCCGCTGCTCTGCTTCAGATCCAGCTCCGAAGGCAGCAGAAGACGGCCCATGTGCTTGGGCCCCTGCCACCCAAGTGGGAGACCCAGATGCTTTCAAATACATACACATATCCTTTTTTTTTTTTTTTTTTTTAAGAAGAAAGTGGAGTCCTGGGGCTCTTGAGCTGAGCAGCAGTACCGTGGAGTGGAGTGTTCCCAGACTCGAACACATGAGGACGTGTGGTGGGCTTGAGACAACACACAGGACTGGGCCCAGCCCCGGAGTTTCAGGCTCGATGGGTTTGGAGTGGAAGGAGACAGGACGTCTAGCAAGTTATCAGAGGCTGTGGCTGCGGCTGTGGCTGCGAGGACTGGAACCACGGCAGATGACAGGTTTTTTAGGGCTATAGAGGCAGCTTGTCTTGGTGAGATCCATTTTTTTTTTTTAAGATTTATTTATTTCTTTGAAAGACAGAGTTACAGAGAGAGATATGTTCCATCCACTGGTCCACTCCCCAAATGGTCGCAACAGCCAGCCAGCTCTGGACTGCTAGTTTCCCAGGCATATTAGGAGGGAGCTGGATTGGAACTAGAGCAGCCGGGTCTTGAACTGACACCCACATGGGATGCCGGCATCACAGGCACCAGTCCCGGTGAGATCTATTTTTGACCTTTACAGCAAATGAGGGCTGGAACACATCACTTACCTACAAAGTAGAATCAACCATAGGAACTCGGGCTTCTTGCAACAACTGAAGCACTTGGAAAAGTGGCCTGTAGTAACTGCATAGCAGATATTAGCTATTGTCATTCATTCATTCACCAAAGAACTAGTGAGTGCTTCCTTTGAGCCATGCCCTGTGAGTCCAGCGCTTTGATAACTCAAAGCCTCTCTCTCCCAACAAGCTTATTATAATCCATTGGGGAAGCACCCTGTAGACAATAACCTCATGAATACATGATACCATGTCCCCCAACAGAATTCTGCATTGCAAGCAAACAGAACAGCAGGTGCACAGGGAGTTTTATGAGGACTTAGGCCAGTCTCGTCCGAATCTCCCAACTCACAGAAGTAGGGTGTGTCTCCAAGGCAAGGTCACAGCGTGGTCTCACCTGCAGCTTTTGTGAATTGCGTGGTGCGGAACCCTGGGCAGCGTTGTCTCGCCCCAGTGTTGTTGTCTTTCTTGCCATGTTTTCCTTTTCTTTTCCTAAAGTATTTTATTAGAGATGTTACACACACTCATTGCTGAAAAAGACAAAAGTGGTCCAGAATCATCTCTCCCCAGGAATAAAAAAAAACCACTAAAATAAAATATTTAATGCTTTTGTTTTCATTTTATTTGAAAGGCAGAGACACAGAGAAATCTTTCAGCCACTGCTTCACTCCCCAAATGCCCGTAACAGCTGGGGCTGGGGCCAGGTTGAAGCCAGGAGCCAGGAACTCAACCCGGGTCTCCCAAGTCGGACAGCAGGGACGGAGGTCCCTGAGCCCTCCCTGCCTTCCCTGTGCAGTAGCAGGAAGCTGGACCAGAAACAGAGCCAGGACTCAGAGCCAGGCAGCCCCTTTAGCCTCTGTGCCAAATGCCGGCCCCCAAACACTAAAATTCTGATAGCAATTCTCAGAGCACCGGGCTCCCTCTTGTGTGTTTATTAATTATGCTTTTCCAGTTGCACGGAACCACCCAGCTGGAAGGTTTGTTTTTCTTTTGTTTTCTCTCTGGAGTCTCTCTCCTGGAGGTCAGCCCTCTAAACTCCGCGAGTGAGGAGGGAGCGGGGCTGTTTGGAGCTGTGTCCAAGTCCAAGTAGTCACCTCCCTGCTTTGGGGCCGAAAGGGGTTGTGAGCATTTTTATGTCGCCGTTATTGATATTTATATGCATGAGCTGCCCCTGTCACTTGGGTTGTTTTTGCCTTAGGATTTCTTTTTTAGCTCTGGTTGCTATCTGATCCTTTGAAATTGATTGAATCTTGGTAATGGCTGGAATTGGCTTTGGCCTTGAGACCTTAATTTGTAAGGATGATTGGCGGGGCCCCTGGCCCCCCTCTCGGGAATCCCCTGGGTAGCTGAGAGCGCGCAGAGCAGGCTGGAGGGGAGGAGCCGAGGGAGGCTGCGGGTCCGCGCCTCCGGTAACCTAGCAACCGGCGCCGTAGCAACGGAGAGGGGGCGGGACCTAGGAAGGAAGTCGGAAGCTAGCAGCCCCAAGTCTCGCGAGAGTTGCGTTTGCGCGCGAACTCTAACTACAGGGGTCCAGGGGTGGGACGGTGGCTGCTTTCTGGGCAGGGGTTCCCTGAGGGACGCCACAGCCACTGCGGACCCGGCCGGTCACCTTGGTCCCCCAGCCATGGAGAGCTCAGCCGTCCAGCAGCAGGAGCAGCCCGCGGCGGCCAAGATGCGGAACCTGCCGTGGTAGGAGCGGGCGCGGCGGGCGCGGCGGGCAGGGGTCGGCCGCGCGCGGGGGCGCAGGTGGCGGCCCTCCTGGGCCCGCGGCCGAGTGCCAGCCGGGTGACAGCGCCGGGGCTCGATCCCGCGTTCCTCTGGCCATAGTCTGCCGTGGAGCTGCTGGTCAAGCTCTAGACCGGAGTAGCGGAGGAGCCCGGGGCGGGCTGTCCTCGGACGCCGCGGAGCGGAGCAGGCGCCCTGCTGGGCGGCGGTGGAGAGGGCACCCGATTCGCCTGGGACGCAGGCGGGACGCCAGGCTTGGGAGCTTGGGTTGCTGCCGGTGGTCCGAGTTCAGATCCTGGCGCTTCCCCGTCCCGTGTCCACGACTAGGGTGGGGGCAGGGGCGCATCAGGCAGCATTTGCGCGGTGGCACATTTGTACTTGCCGCATTTCCCGTCACCCCGAGAGGAGCCACTCCCCGTTTTTGCCTGTTCTGGGCTCTCCGTGTCAGTGGCATCACACGATGTGTGGCGAGTGTCAGAATTCCATTGTATGCATAGAGGGCACTTCCTCTGTACCTGCGTCCGGCGGTGGGTGTTTGGGTAGGAGTTCCCTGTGGAAGTCTCTGTCGGTGCCCACTCAGGTTGACATCGGAGGCAGACAGCTGGACAGGTGAGATGAGAGCGCCATCTCCCATCTGGGGCTGTTAACATGATGGGCTAGTTACTGCACTGAGTGGGGGACGCGGACAGGGGAGCTGTCGTGTGCCCTGTACGATGTAGTGACACCCAGTTGTCACCACTAGAAATGTCGCCAGGTAGCCCCAGATCGCCCTGGTGGAGAACCACAGGTCTATACGGGAACCTACAAGGCTTCCTTTCTCTTCCTCTTTGAGTTGGGATACGAAAGGGTTCTTATGCACATAGGAAATGTTCTCGAGTTTACACATGTCGTATATATTCTGAATTGTATTGCAGGGTCGAAAAGTACCGGCCACAGACACTGAACGATCTCATTTCTCACCGGGACATCCTGAGTACCAGTGAGTACCCGGGGTTAGTTACTCGTGTCTGCTGAGTAGGAGTGCACAGCCTGATCAGGCTCGTGGGCTGCGGCTGTAGGCGTCGAGCCCTCCCCTCTCCTTGCTGCCTTTGCCTCTGACTTGCCCACGGCCTGGGTGCGGAGCCCGCGGCTCCCGGGGCTGGGCCAGTCCCAGGGACTGACGGTGGCGCCCTGTCTTCCTCAGTTCAGAAATTCATTAGTGAAGACCGACTGCCACACCTGCTTCTCTACGGCCCTCCGGGGACAGGAAAGACGTCCACCATCCTCGCCTGTGCTAAACAGCTGTACAAAGACAAAGAATTCGGCTCCATGGTCTTGGAGGTAAACAGGGTTATTCTTACTCCACAAAGGACTCCGCCTCTTAACTTGCCCTGTGCTGGTTTTATTATAACTTCAAGTGTAAGTGGTCCCTCGGCACTTGAGAAAGAAGCAGGTTGGACGTGAGGTGGTGGACTCCACTCTTCTCCGCGTGCTTGTCTTGGTCCAGTTGGTGCCTGCCTGCCAAGGCAGTTGTGGGCCTGCGGTTCCCTTCGCCCAGCCCCTCCTGGGCCCAGCCCCTCTTGGGCCCAGCCCTTCCTGGGCCCCTCCTGCCTTCCTGGCGGCCCCTGCACTGCTTGCTGCCCGGAAGGCAGAGCTGCATCGCCTCTACGCTCCCTTTGCCCCCTGGCTCCTGGATGGGTTGGCCAGTAGGAGCCCTGGCAGGGAAACGGGGACAGAAGAGAGTGGTGCCCAGACCTGTCCTGGGGGTGACCGCCAGCAGGCGCTGCCCCCACACACACAGGGCACAGCTCACGGGTGACGTCCCTCCCTCCCTCTCCAGGGTGCGTGGTCCTGTGCCCCACCCCCCAGCACCTTTTAAGTCATCACTTCATTGAATTCTCTTCAAGTGACTGCATTTGAGTAGATTGCTGGGACCCGGGATGGTACACGTGTATTATAAAAGTCCAAATACTGTTTCTGTAAGAAAAAACCGTGTATCTTACTTTATGGGTTGTGGTAGCCGGGATGTACATTGTTCTGCCAGGGCCTGGGGTGCTGTCGGGTGCGGCCTGGCCAGTGAATCCTTTCCGGGTTCTGGGAGCGCCCGCCCTCGAAGGCTTGGGAAAGGTGCCGTTTGCCTTTCAGAATGCAGGGTAGTGGCTTAGTGAGTTTTGAGGACAACTGGTTTTTATTTTATTTATTTATTTATTTATTTTTTGACAGGAAGAGTTAGAGAGAGACAGCGAGAAAGGTCTTCCTTCCATTGGTTCACCCCCAAAATGGCCGCAATGGCTAGAGCTCTGCCGATCCGAAGCCAGGAGCCAGGTGCTTCTCCTGGTCTCCCATGGGGTGCAGGACCCAAGGACTTGGGCCATCCTCCACTGCACTCCTGGGCCACAGCAGAGAGCTGGCCTGGAAGAGGGGTAACCGGGACAGTCCGGTGCCCCAACCGGGACAGTCCGGTGCCCCGACCGGGACTAGAACCCGGTGTGCCGGCGCCACAGGCGGAGGATTAGCCTAGTGAGCCGCGGCTGTCATTAGACCATGAAAACTAGTCCACTGAGCTGAACTGATGAAAAATACCTGAAAACCAGGAATCCTGGGGCAGGCGATGTGACGCAGCAGGTGGAACGGCCACTTGGGCGGCCGCAGCCCTACAGGAGAGCCTGCTGTGTCCCCGCTCCCTGCTCACGCGTCCTGGGATGCAGCAGGAGACCCGCCTACGTGGGAGACCTGGGTGGAGCTCCTGGCTCCTGGCTTTGGCCTGGCACGGTCAGATGCAGGCATTTGGGAGTGAATGAGCAAACGGTTCTGTCTCTGTCACTCTTTCAGGTAGATGAAGATAGATGACATCAAAAATAAAAGTGGGAATTTATAGAAAGCAAATTGTGGTTTCTGATTTTGGGTTTTCTTCTTCCACATTTAGCTGAATGCGTCGGACGACCGAGGAATTGATATCGTTCGGGGACCAATCCTGAGCTTTGCTAGCACAAGGACAATATTTAAGTAAGAATTATTTGCATGCTTTCTCCCCTTGGAAATTTTGATCCGTGAGGCGATGTGGCTTAGTTTTCCAGTTTTTGAAGGGGGAGAAAGAGGGCCTTGTCAAAAACAGCATGAAAAATAAAGTTCCCGCATGGTGGTAAGGAATATTACAATGCAAATGGTAAGATGGAATATTATCTAAACCTACACCAGCAGGTGCCTTCAGGAAGCACTGGCTTCGTTTCGTTAGCAGACCAAGGACTGGCCACAGCCTGCCTGGGTGTTAGGCCCAGACGAGCGAGTTGGAGTTTAAACAAGAAAACAGATCTGGAAGAATACGTAGGCTGTGTGGAGACGGATGAAACCCAGAGAAGGAGGGGCCACGGGCAGGGGCAGTGACGGGTGGAGGAGGAAGGCAGCAGGGAGGGCACCGGGGAGGGCGGAAGTTGGACCTCGGTTCCCGGCCAGGGCTGCAGGCACAGTGGGCACTTCCTCTGTGACCACGGACGTCAGGCCTGCTTCAAGGTCTGGGAGCAGTGGCCTGTGAGGACGGAGTTCAGGCCTGGGCGGTGCAGCGACACAGTGCCGTGTGTCTTCCTAGGAAGGGCTTCAAGCTGGTGATCTTGGATGAAGCTGATGCCATGACTCAGGACGCCCAGAATGCCTTGCGAAGAGGTGAGAGGAGCTGCCGAGGGCCGCGCTGGAGGCCCCGAGACGCCCGTGGCTTCTTCTCTGTTTCCGTTCAGCTCGTGGTCCAGAGAAGCCTCTGTCCTCTCTCCCGCATCCCTACGTGCCCCGAGCAAATGCCCCTCGCCCTAGCGGGGCTTCCGCTCAGAGCTGTAGGGGCGCGTCCTGTCGGGCCTCCTAAGGTGGGCGCTCTCTGCTGTCACCCTCCTGTGCCTCTGGACCTCACTCACGCTTGGGAATTTGCATTGTTCCAAACTATTGGACCTTTCTGGAGGCACTGCCCTCGGATCCCAAGTGGCCACGTTGGAAACGGATACTGGAGTTTGGCGACGCTCGGAAAACAGACCCTGCTTCCCCACTCATGCGCCGGTGAACCGGGCCGGCAGCGAGGGATCCGTGCCGAGTGTGTCTTGTGGGTCCGAGGCCGTCCGTCTGTCTTAAAGGGGACTTGGACTCTGTTAGGGTGCTGAGCGGATCAGCCCGAGAGGAGTTGGGAAGGGAAGGAGCGGTTTGTGTGCATATGGGGGGGGGCTGCTTGGAGCACAGAGGAGGGGGAGGAGGGGGCTGCTTGGAGCACAGCTTCTGCTCCCCAGCACAGTAACAGTGCTTCTTCAGCCTCGTGTTCTGTGGAGTGACTGTTAGTCTGGGCAGGTCCCCGCCTGGGAACACAGGGTCCCCACGTGGGACTCCCCTCGCCATGCCTGCTGCTCCCCGGGTCTCTCAGGCCTGCAGCGAGATCCGCCCCCTCCTGCCCAGGAGAGTGTGAAGCTGAGAAGTTTATGCAAAGGACAGGAACTCTGGGTCGCTGGTGTCAGTGGGAGGAGGGGCGAGCGGGCCAGAATCCTGGCGAACCATCAGAAAGAAAATGTCCCGTGAGATCCCCAGGAGGCGGCAGGTCCGTCAGCTTCTGCAGAGGGAGTTGCTGCCTCCCGTCCCGAAGCCCCGCCTCTCCCCCAGAGGTCGACCCCCTCCAGTTTGCACTCTGGAACCGAGAATGTCGGGGGTGGGGGTCCTTAGAAGAATGTGCGGTTGTATTTTCCCTCCCCAGTGATTGAGAAATTCACCGAAAACACCAGGTTCTGCCTCATCTGTAACTACCTGTCCAAGATCATCCCCGCCTTGCAGTCCCGGTGCACGCGGTTCCGATTCGGGCCCCTGACGCCGGAACTCATGGTCCCGCGCCTGGAACACGTGGTGGAGGAGGAGAAGTGAGTGTGCTGATGGGCGAGGGAGGCCCGGGGTGATGGCTGGTTCCCACTCACGCGCTCGGCACGGTCACCTCTGGCGCCTGGCACCTTGCCGACTTCCTCCTCCTGGAAGTCCCTCAGTTCTTGTCTTGTCTTCCCTGATGCCGCCCTCCTCGCCTGGAAGCGGGCCTGATTCCGCCTCCTCCTCTGTCATCGCAGACTGCACGCGGCCCAGTCCCTCCTGCGGGGACGCTGCAGCCTGTTGTGGACTAGAAGGCGGGTCCTGAGACGTCACATCCGCGGAGTCAGATGCCACGCGAGCTGCCTGCCCGCACTGCTGCGGGTTCCGAGCAGGCGCTGGTGCCGCAGTGGCGGGCGGATGGTGCCGGGCTCGTTCCTCTCCAGAGCAGTGGCCCAGCATCGGGACCCCTGGGCCTTAGGGTCTGCCCGGACCTGGCGTGGCTGGGGCTGCTAACGTGGAGTCCACGTCCCTGACGCCAGAGAGAGTTCTAGAGGGCACGCATCGGGAGCGTGTCAGCAGCTCTGGCCTCCTTGTCTTCTAAGGCCGGAGTCACTCCAGGCCGTGCAGGTCCCCTCCGCGAATGCGTGTGCTCCCAGGAGGCCCCGTAATGAGTGCTTCTGCCTGTTTCCTTTCAGGGTCTATGTCAGTGAAGACGGCATGAAAGCTCTCATAACTCTGTCGAGCGGGGACATGCGGAGAGCCCTGAACATTCTGCAGGTAGGGCCCGGCTCGCAGCCAGCCCCGGCCCCGCGCTTTGCCATCGTTTTTGATGAAAGGTCTAAGCAGCAGGACCGCCACTCTGCATTCAGAGGCCTAGACCCGCCCACGCCCACGCCCCAGCCTTAGTGTGTGGAGGAGTTGAAACATTTGTGCTAAGCAGGCAGAAGTAGGGAGGATTCTGCAGCCGCACAGCCCAGCCGGCAAGCAGCAGCCCCACTCGGAAAGCACGCGGGGCCGGGCCGTCCTGCGCGCAGTAACATCGCTGCCTCAGCAGGCTCCTCCTGGCCCACCGCGGCCTGGGGCTGTGGGGCCGCCTCGAGGGTCCTCCCTCTGTCTGCAGAGCACCAACATGGCCTTCGGGAAGGTGACGGAGGAGACCGTGTACACCTGCACGGGGCACCCGCTCAAGTCCGACATCGCCAACATTCTGGACTGGATGTTGAATCAAGACTTCACCACAGCCTACAGGAGTATCCTTTCTCGTGTCCAGGGCCTGGGGCCTGGAGGGGGCCCTGGAGCTCACGCAGCTTGGGCCAGCATCTTAGACCTTGCTGGCCAAGGCTGATGGCGCGTGTGGCTCTGGGCAGCGCTGAGCGGGAGCAGGTGTCTGTGGCTCCCCAGCGTCCCTCCTGAGGGGAAGGGAGGGCAGCCGCAGGGCCTTGGGATGGAAGGTGCACATCCTTTAAAGCGGCTACTGTTAGCTGTAGTTTTGCTGGGAATGGTGCCCTGAAGCCCTTGGGGAAGGCGTCTGGCTCTGTCCTCTACTAGCAGGAGACAGGAAGCCCTTACTGAAGATAGAACAAAGAGAAGTAAGAATGGGGGCCTAACGTGTGCAGCTTCCAGTTGAAAAGCAGCTGTGTTGGAGTCGTGAGTGCTGCTTTAGAGTTGCTCCGGGAGAGGCGTTTGTTGCAGTGGTTAAGGTGGGGCCAGCGCTGTGGCAGGGGGTCAGGCCCCGGCCTGCAGTGCCGGCATCCCAGATCAAGTCCCAGCCGCTCCACTTCCGATCCAGCTCCTTGCAAATCCACCTTGGAAAGCAGTGGGTGATGGCCCAAGTATTTGGACCCCTGTCACCCAGCTGGGAGACATGGATGGAGTTCTAGACTTCCAGTTTCGGTCTGGCCCAGCCCTGGCTGTCGTGGCCATTTGGGGAGTGAGCCAGCAGTTGGAAGATCATTTGCTATCTCTTCCTTTCTCTCTGTAATTCTGCCTTTCAAATAAATAAATCTCTTCCAAAAAAGACACCTGTATCCCACACTGGAGAGCCTGGTTCGGGTCCTGGCTCCATTCCCAGTGCTAGCTTCCTGCGAACATATCTATTGGGAAACAGAAACCAGCAGATGGCGGTTCAGGTACTTGGGTCCCTGCCACCGGTGGGAGACCTGGGTTGAGTCCCTGGCTCCCAGCTTTGGCCCAGCCCAGCCCAGCCCTGGGTACTATGGGCATTTGGGGCGTGAAGCAGAAGATAGGGGATCCCTCTCTCTGCCTTTCAAATAAATAAAATCAAAGTCACAGAGTTGCTCACTGGGGTTTGGATGCAAAGTTCCTGTAGAATGGGTGTTCTGGGTCTTGCCCCTCGGCCTTAACTGCTCCTCCAGATATCATGGAGTTGAAAACCGTGAAGGGGTTGGCGCTGCATGACATCCTGACGGAGATCCACTTGTTTGTGCACAGAGGTGACGCGTGGCTTTCCCCCACCGGGAGGGGGCGTGCGTGGGGTCACAGATGGTGCCACAGAAGGAGGCTCCATTCTCCAACAAACGGGAATGACGGAGCCTACAGCCGACTCCTTGTTTTTTGGCAGCTCTGTCTCACTGCTATTGAAAAACTTTTTAATCTTTAGAACTGCTGGAGGAAGTAGGGAAAAAACCTCTCGAAGGCTACTTCCTCCCGGAGTTTATCTCCTATGGCAAAAATTAATGTTTGAATTCAGATTTCTGTAAGATTGCTTGCCTGGAAAGAGGGAGCTGCTGTATCCTCATGTAGACCCACGGTGGGGAGTGTCCCGCCCGCTCCCCACGCGCGGCCTGCGAGATGTGTGCTCTGGCCCTGCCAGTGCGACCACGGGAGACCTGAAACCCAGCACCGAGGCGCCAGGCTCGCTTTTAAGTCGATCATGTCCTGTGACCCACAAATGATGTTCTGAATGCCCAAACGCCCCGGGCACACAGATTCCCCCCCCTGAGCTGTCCCCCTGCTGTACCGTCTGTGTAATTGATTCTCGGCTCTGGCAGCCCAGAGGAAATCCCCCCCAGCCCAATTAAACGGGTCTCGGGGAGCCCCGGGCCTGCGTGTCTCCCCAGACTCCCAGGGGAGCCTCGGCCGGGCCTTTTCAGCTCTCGTCTCCACAGCAGCCATCTGCAGACTGGAGCCTTCTCGGGGCCGTGCACGCTGGTTCTGCCTGCTCGTGTGTTTTTAAACTGGGAGGGCGAGACCTGCCCGGGGCTGCGGGCGCTGTGCTGCGGGCTTCCATGTGTACCAGGGAGTACCAGGGAGTCCGCTAATTGGTCTTTTTTTACTCTATGAAGAAACGCAGGATAGAGTGGGTGACAATGGGGAGGCCCACACCACGTGTACGTTCATCTTAGAGGTGCATTTGTTCAAGCCCCGCCTGAGGCCTCCGGAGTTCAGTTAGCTGTTTGCTGTTTATACTCGAGCTTTTTCCCGTGGAAAAGACGGACAGACCCTCACTCACTGCACTTCCTTCTCCCTCAGTTGACTTCCCGTCGTCAGTTCGAATACACCTGCTGACTAAAATGGCAGATATTGAGTGAGTGACTTTCCGTTTTAATTCTTTCCTTTTCCCCCACTCCCTGCTGTTTGATCTTGAAATGCTTGGTTTCAGGCCGGCACCGCAGCTCACTAGGCTAATCCTCCGCCTGCGGCGCCGGCACACCGGGTTCTAGTCCCGGTCGGGGCACCGGATTCTGTCCCGGTTGCCCCTCTTCCAGGCCAGCTCTCTGCTGTGGCCAGGGAGTGCAGTGGAGGATGGCCCAAGTGCTTGGGCCCTGCACCCCATGGGAGACCAGGAGAAGCACCTGGCTCCTGCCATCAGATCAGCGCGGTGTGCCGGCCGCAGCGCGCCAGCCATTGGAGGGTGAACCAACGGCAAAGGAAGACCTTTCTCTCTGTCTCTCTCTCTCACTGTCCACTCTGCCTGTCAAAAAAAAAAAAAAAAAAAAAAAAAAGAAATGCTTGGTTTCAGCCTTGTCTAAATCGTTCATACAAAACAGAATCCACTTAGTGGTACTGAGTGTTATGTGGCAAAAGACAGTGGCTTCTTATTTAGGCATCGGAATAGCAGCAGGGAGCGGCACCGGGCAGTTAGATTTGGGATGAGGGCCTCTCTGGAGACCTCAGAGGCCTGGCCCACATTGGTTCTGGGGACGCTTGCTGTCTGGGAGGCCAGCTATTCAGTCCAGACATCTAGGTCATGTGGGGACGGCCAGCTACCCAGCTGTTACTAAGGCATTCTGGCATACGCTTTAGCATGTCGAGGGGAAAGCAACAACAAACTCCTTTTCCCACTCTGCCTGGTCAGCAAACACTGTCATTAGCCCCCAGTGAGGCCGGCAGCTGTCATCCAGGTAGAGTGTTGGGGTCAGACACCCATCAGCTCGCCCTGGGGTGGGGGTGTGGCTTTCTCCTGCACGCAGGGGCCGCACGAGCCGCTGGCAGCCTGCCGCACTGGCACAGGTCAGCCAAACTTGCTAGTGAAGCGTCGCAACCCAGAGGAAGAAAATGTCGGCTTTACTTCCCTCGTAATGCGTCTTGCAGGTGAAGAAACAGTCCTCTATCCCATTCATCCTGCGTATAAACATGGCTGTCTATAACTACAATTTAAAAAATGTCATTTATCCTCACCAGTTTGTTAGATTTATAAAGTCCGTGTTTAAGGCTGAACAGAAAACGTTAGAGGGACAAAAATCCAAGCTCGCTGCCCAGGGTGCCTTTTTGTCAGCTCCCACCCCCCTTTAAACAGACTGCTCAGCCTCGGCTGTGAGAGGGCGGCTCCGTCCTCATGCTTCCCGTGCTGGCTTCCTGCAGGTACAGACTTGCTGTTGGCACCAACGAGAAGATCCAGCTGAGCTCCCTCATCGCTGCTTTTCAAGTCACCAGGGACCTGATTGTGGCAGACGCCTAGGTGCTCCCGGGCCTGCGGGCCCCAGCTTTGGGGCCCCGCTGTGCCTCGAGAACAGAGGACCCAGTTACAGGACAGGGAGTGAGCCGCCGTCCCCCTAGCCTGGGGCACCACTGTTCCTGCCGTACGTGGGTGCACCTGCAGATGCGGGGCGCCACGGTCCCGGGGGTCCAGCACGGGCTTCTCTCTGCACTGCCCCGGCTGTCTTGTAGTCGGGGGGAAAACCTGATTTTCAGCATTGAAGCTTTTTATCTTTCAGGTGCTAGACGACAGGAAGTTGGCCTGTCTTTTGGTCTGGAACATAAAGGCTTCAAATCTAATGTCCTAGTCTCTGCCAATGCAGCCTTAAGCACCTCCCAGGTTAAGTTTACGTGTGTCATCTGCGGCACTGTTTTGGCCAAAACAATGAACTCTTAAGAATAAAACACTGCTGGGCTGCTGTTGTGGCAGAGCAGGGTAAGCCGCCGCCTGCCACGTGGGAATCCCGTGTGAGCCCCAGCGCCAGCGCCAGCTAATGCACCTGGGAAAGCCGCAGCAGGTGGCCCACGGACACGTGGGTGACCCAGTGGATGGAAGATCGTTGTAACTCTGCCTTGCAAATAAATAAATGTTTTAAAAAAAGGAAACAGAGTTCTCTTACTTTAAAAACTGGCCTTTTTATTTCTCCTCCTCTAAGTAGAGGAGTTACCAGCAAGTTCCCAATCGCAGTGTGGACAGTAGGAAAACCTTGAATTTAAAATATAGAGTGAAGCCTTTAAACGATGCCGCTGGGGGCCAGAGGTTCTGGGAGGCTCGCTTGTGGGGTGCGGGTTCCACCTGACTGCGCCTTCCCTGACAGTTCGCTGTCCCCGGGTTAGTGTTCGCCATCGGAACAAAGCAGCTTGCGGGCTGGTCGTGCTACAAGCGACTCTTCCCTCCGCACGTCGCATGCCGACTTGTTTAACCTGCTCGTACGCTGACGCCCTGGCTGACACACAGAACAAAGGTTTCTTCGGAGGCTGCTTGTTAACACTTCAGTTCTCGGCTGCACGATGGTGGGAAAGCAACACACAGTCAGCAGAAGCTAGACTCGAACGTCGCTCTCTTGGGCTGCTTCCCCTCCACGCGACGCTTCTGTTGATGGTGGGGGGGACCCGTGTCAGCCTATCCAATGTACTTCCAAGGTACGACTCAGCCAGGCTGCGGCGGGCTGAGCAGGACGCAGCCCGTGGAAGCCGAGGCGCACCTGTATTATCTGACGGGAGAGGTCACGCAGCGAAGGTGGGGGCGTCAGCCAACGAGGGCCTCTAAGGAAACAGCCCTCAGAGGTGGCAAGGCCGACCTACTCGCAGCTGTTGGACTACTGGTTTCTAAGGGTGATTATTTTTTCTTCACAGAAAAGACTGGAACAGCCAGATCTTGTAACTGTCACTTGCCTCCAAGGAGAGCCTGCTGTGGAAATGTCTCTTCAAGCGGGAGACCCTCATCAGCCGTCTGCTCCACTGGCCCCTGCAAAGCACGGGCTGAGACGGCCACGGAGGAGGGTGTTGCGTTTCTTAGAAAATAATTTAAAATATATTAACTTTTCCGAAGGCAGACTCTGAACGAGGTGTCTTGATTAGGGAGCTGTGCCGCACAAGGGAGCTATTTTTGTTGAGGGGCGGAGCTGAAACTGGCTGATTAATCCCAGGAGGCTTAGCAGCACAGCCAGGTCGCGCACTTGGGCCTATCCACTGAAGCGATGCCAACACCCATTCTCCACGCAATTAAGACACATCTTCGCAAGTGTTCGGTTTAAGTACTCTGGTTTTTAGATACCACGGAGAAAAACACAGTTGTACCTTAACATCTGAGAAAATACGAATAAATATGAAGCTAACAAATGGCACACGGCTGGCAACTCGGGAGCCTTGTGACCAGTCATGCAGTTCAGGAATATGTCCCTGGATAATCGGACATACAAATTTGTCACCCCTGTACATGCACACCATTGTTTCAAAAACAAAAACAAAAAAGCCAGGAATAGTGTCTCAGTGGGGAGCACTGCCTCCGGTTCACCTGGAATTTGGCTAAGCTAAAACCTCACACCGACTGGCTCTGGGAAAACCTGGTCCTGCTGGCGAGAGCGGGGCCCGAGGGAGGAAGCTGGCCAGGTCAGAGCACTGCTGACCACATCGGGGAGAACTTGAAACTGCCACCACAGCAGCTGCGACACGAAGCCGACGGGCCCCACACGGAGGCCCGCCCGCCCGCCACTCACACAGCAATAACTGCACTTTAATCAGAATGACTAGAAAGAATTAAATGGGCTGTTCATGAGCGGACCAAAGCCTTAAAGTAAGGCCCTGTGGCCGTGGAGCTGGACTCTCTCCCTCTAAGGCTGCCACGCCGTGCAGCAAAAGGCCCAGGACGGGTCCACTGCAAACTTTCTGCTACATTCTCTGCCCAGTCCCAAAGAAACGCTATTTGAATCCTAGACCACGTGTTCGGCCCATTACTCCAGACACTGCCAGGAAGATGGAGGCCGCTCACAGGAAACCAGCCGTGCCGTGTCGCTAGAAAGTCCTGTATGTGAGGAACTCTTTCATTTTCTTGGGGATTGGCAGTGCTAGGACTTGGTAGGTCGTCAGGAAGCTTCGAAGGGCTTTCCGGCATAAGTGCTTCAGTGAGGAGAGGACTCTAGGCGCCGTCCAGAACTGGACGTGGCCATCTCTGGTCCTGCCATGAAACAAACCCACGTGTTAGGACAGGCCTGGGAAGTTCACGCTTTCACCGCGATGCACGATCAGTGTCTACTTGGACTTGAACTAGGCGACTCCAGGGACTGAAACGTAACTCTCCACGGTGGGGATGGACATAAAGGCCAGTGCTGCACAGTGAAGAGGTTTTAACACCAAATGCTCCCACCTCTGTGGGCACTGCCCGTTCTGAGTCAATTACTGTTAGTTCAAGTGTGACACAGGCAAGGCTGCCACCTGCTGCACTAGAGGTGTCACCCTAAGGTGGTCCCAGCCCCGTCAGTAGCACCTGCCTCCTTGTGGACTGGCCCCACCAGGTGGCATGAGCTGTAAGCATGGAATGGCATCCAAGTCAAATATTAAGAGTAGATAACCACACAGTGCCATGGCAGAATAAAATGCCTGAATTTCCTATCAGATTCCCATAAAGCCTTCCTCTCTGTCCCTGAAAGGCTGCGGGGCACACTCAGCAGAGGCCGCTCCCCTGGGAGCAGCTCCGATACATACCCTGTGGCAATAACTCCACCATGTGGAAAAAAGGTGCAGCAAAGACCATTGGTCATAGGAGCGAATGCGATAGGAGCCTTCAGTTCCAGGGCCCAGATCCTGAGGAGCCTGCCCAAGAAGAGAGGGACACGGTCAGGCCTGGCCGCGGGGTGCTGCCGTGGCTCGGCGCGCCCTTCTCCTTACCTGTCGTCTGCCACGGTGGCCAGGTACAAGCCTTCAGGAGAGAAGCACACAGACCTCAGCGAGCTCATGTGCACGTCGCTGTCGTCCATGGCAGGGTCGAGCTGGGCGTGGCTGAGGAGGAAAAATAGGACGGTGGGCTGCGGGGAGGTGGCCCTCCCCCTCGGGAGAGGGGGCTGCTGGGAGGCGGCCCTCCCCCATCGGGAGAGGGGTCTGCGGGGAGGCGGCCCTCCCCCATCAGGAGGGGGGTCTACAGGGAGGCGGCCCTCCCCCATCGGGAGAGGGGGGCTGCGGGGAGGCGGCCCTCCCCCATTGGCAGGGGGCTGCAGGGAGGCGGCCCTCCCCCATCGGGAGATGGGGGCTGCGGGGAGGCGGCCCTCCCCCAACAGGAGAGGGGAGCTGCGGGCTGGAGGAAAAGGCCTCTCAGAAGGCACCCAGAGACATGTGGACGGGAAAGGGTTATTAGCACTTCCCTGTGCTAATTTCCTTATGCAAACTAGGTCAGCCCTCACTTTAACACCACAGTACAAACTCGGTCTTTTTTAGGCTAAGATACATGACAATTATAGGACTACCTATTAATTGCTTCATGAAGTAACAAAGAAAAGGAAAAAGTAGACCAAGCCTGGGAGAACATGAGGATTCATGTTGGAAGTAACGGTTTCGGTAAGAAAGTCCCTTAGCCTGTCACTACGGTGACCAGTGAGCGGAAACCAGCAGTCACTGGGGGTCTCACCACAGTGCATCCACAGCGCACAGAGCCTCTCCGGTCAGGGGACCAAGGACACTCGGGGCTGAATGGAGAGCTTCATGGGCAACGCCGCACTGCTAAGCCCTGGACCCAGCGGGCCTCTGGATCCAGGCTGTCCCCTCCCCGGTTCGGACGCGAGCTGCGGTGGGCGTGCCACCAGTGATCCCACGGGGAGCAGCCGCAGCAGGTTCAGGCCTTACCGGAGAGACCTCAGCCTCTCCCCAGTGTACGGGTCCCACATGATCACGCTGGTGTCGTAAGACGCCGTGACCAGCAAGGCAGAATCGGGGGAGAAGTCACAGGAGACAACACTGCTTTGGTGGCCCTCGAGCTTCCGGATCAAGGTGTAGGACCGCATGCTCCAGAGAAAGACCTGTGGGAAGGAACAGGTGCCCGGTGAGGGCCGGGAGCCAGGTGCACGGCACTCTCAGTGAGAGGCCCCGCTGACTCCCTCCACAGGCCCCACAGCCAGGGGAACTCTGCACGTCAGCCGACCTGACAGCCTTTCCAGTAGGACTTCACCAAAACCAAAAATGAAAAACAAAGGAGTGTTTAGATGTTGATTTCACTTCCTCCCCTTCATGGGGTGGGGAGCCTTGTGTTCTGCCAGGGGCCATCAGGGTATTTATGTTATTGACAGGCCACACACAATCACCACCTGAGAAACCAGCCTGCTACAGATTCAGGGACTTGAGCTGCCTCGGTGGGGCCAGACTCGATTATTTCACAGCCTTCCATGCCCGCGGGCTGGACCTGCCTCCGCCCTTCAGCCCTGCTTGAAGCAAAGTCTCATGAGTTCCAGACCTCAAATGAATGATTAACCACCGGGGCTGTACTGAGGGTGAACTCTGAACCTTCCTATCAGTCCCAGCTCAATGCAAATACAAAGCACGAACAGAAACAAACAGGGTCTCTAAGAGTTTACAGTATTAGGCCGGCGCCGCGGCTCACTAGGCTGATCCTCCGCCTTGCGGCGCTGGCACACCGGGTTCTAGTCCCGGTCGGGGCGCCGGATTCTGTCCCGGTTGCCCCTCTTCCAGGCCAGCTCTCTGCTGTGGCCAGGGAGTGCAGTGGAGGATGGCCCAAGTGCTTGGGCCCTGCACCCCATGGGAGACCAGGATAAGTACCTGGCTCCTGCCATCGGATCAGCGCGGTGTGCCGGCTGCAGCGCGCCAGCTGCGGCGGCCAGGCAGGATCTCAGGACAAGTTACAGATGTGACATGCAAGTCCTACTTCGATGGGTCAGATTAGATGACTCAAAGGGAAGTTAGTTCTACAGGTGGGCCACAACTTTGAGGCTCCAAGGGTAGGAGTGTGGAAGGCATGCACTTTATAAAGGGAAACAGCCCTCCAATCACAGGAGACTTGCTTCCAAGCCCCGCCTCTCCTTTGGTCCTTGTGGTGCAGGAGGCCATGGGCTCTATCGGAGCCAATGCAGACGCATTTTGAGGACACTTGGTGACACAGACAC